TTGTTTTTGGTGTATTTTGTTTTGTTTTTAGTGCATTTTGTTTTGTTTTTCGTGTATTTTGTTTGGAAGTCGGTTTTGTTTTTTTTTTTAATTCCACACGAAGTCGCTGGACCTAGTATTATAATAAAAAAAACTTTAGTGATGACTCGAATATTAAAAAAATGAAAACAAAATGTGGATATTCCACCAAAGGAAAACCACTGATGTGTAAAATTGGATCCTACCCATCTATTTAAATCGATGACCCAATTTAGGTAAAGTATATCTCGGTCGTTTTTGTATCAAGCAATTTCTTACGGTACGTGATCTAAAAACTTGGATAAAAGAACTAGTGGCTTTTGAAGTTAAAGAGATTTCTAAATTAAATACGAAATTAAAAAAAAAAAATTCAAAAGAAGTGTTCATTACAAATCTTTCTACATAATTATATTATGGCTAATTATTTCTGTTAACCAAGTTTTAGGCAAGGACTAAGACAAGCAATGGAAATTTAGAATAAAAATCAAAGGATTTAGAAACTTCTTGTGGCGTCAGAAATAAAAGTCCAAGATGTTTAATCAACAATATAATTTAATACAAGAATACAAACTTAAAACTATACTTTTTATAACATAAGGTGGCAAACAAGCAAGCGGCCACCTAAATCCACCGAAATGGAAAGCGACCGCTGTACATACACATCCGCAATTGCAGATGCGTTGCCTACCCATCATCGACGTTAGAGGAGACGCATATAAAAAGGATATTTCCCCTTGCTATGCGTCTTCTCTACCGTCAAGTCCACTTTTCCTTCCTATCCCACCCTCTTAGAGTTATTTATTTATTTATTCATTAAATACATGAAATAATTATTTCATTTTATCAAACACTCACAAGAATACCCACATGTTGAATAAACACAAAAAAGCGTACATAATATCAATACAAATGTTACAGATACATACTGACTTTTAAAACATCAAACTCACTATGTTTATAATCCAAAACTTAAAATACAAGAAATCTGCATATGACTCAAGTTCCAACTTCCTTTATATGTATATATTTAAGACAAGGGTGGAAAGGAAAAAGGACCAAAATTAGGCCTCCATTAAATTAAATTAATAACTAAATACCAAATGACATTAAAATAACAGAATACAATTATACAATTTTTAAAAATAGGTAACAATTTATCTAGGCCTCTTCTGAACGACTTGTAATGTCGTGACCGACGCACCGCCTCTGAAGTCTCGTCCCTACGCCGTTGAACGCTGACCGAAGAAAGCATGGATGGATTGTGTGAAAGAGGATATGCTTAAGGGATTGAATTAAGATATGACGACTGATAGATGTACTATGTGTACCAGTATGTACTATACCTTTTTAGTGCCAATAATAGGAAGCTGATAATGATAATAAAATGTAGTTTAACATTACCAAACAAGCAGGTAAATTTCTACAGTAAATGTATATAAATATGGTGTTGAACTATTGGTAGAACAACTTGGACGTATGCACCAAAGAGCTAACCGATTGTTCGATACCAAGAGGAACTCAGTGCTGTAACCGCGACGAGTTCCAAACTCCAATAATATAAAGTTGAATCCTGGAATTGTGTACGTTAACTGGAGTTACCTTTGGAATCATTCGAATGGAAATTGTTCATAAAAAGATAACGCCCATTTGGATATCATGATATAATTTATTTGGTAGATTGTTTTTTGTTCTTTCAAGGATTTTTTTTTATAATATATCCCATAAACATCTGCGATTGCAGATGCGTTGCTTACCCTTAATTGACGGAGGAGAAGACGCACATAAAGAGGACATTTCCAATTCCTATGCGTCTCCTCCACCGTCAAATGCACTTTTCCTTCCCATCCTTTCCTCTTAAGAAAAGGGTGGAGAGGGAAAGGGAAAGGGACTAAAATTAGGCCTCCGGCACCACACTCATCAGACGAAACGCGGAATTGCTTCCACTTCACGCCAGTTTTCTGTGTGGTCGTGGTATTACACCGGGCGAGCCGACCCATTCGTGCGAAGATGTTAAAGCGGGCTCTACCACTGTTATTGATACTGATGTTGCGAAGTTTTATATGACGTAGATTTTGAATGTTTTTTAAATTTTATTTTCACTTATAACAAAAATAGATGATTGTTTAACCTTAGTTATGTTCCAATTACAAAGTGTGAATAAAATTTGAAATGTTATAAAATTAAAAACATTTTCTAGTTTCGTTCGAGTTTACAATAGTAGGGGCAGAATAATTTCACAGAGTTTGTTGGACAAACAAATAATTAATCTGGCGAGGGTATAGTTTAATTGCTTGTTTTGAGTTTGTCTTGCAATTCCGACTGTATTTCGCGGGAATTCGACTCCAACAGACGATAGACGCCAAGTGTACCGAGTTTTAATAATAAATTACGAAATCGGTGCGGGAGTTTAAGCATTTAAATTTGTATAAAGACAGTCTTCAATTTGAAAGGAAATCGAATATTTTATTAATGATAGAAGAGTTACGAGAATAAAATGATAGAGCGAAATGTTACGTTTTGTACATTTTTAGAGAACTGCTGTATTGTCAACTAGCTTTCGCACGTAACTTCGTCCGCGTGGTATTGAAAAAAGCATGTAACCTTACCTATCTGTTCTTCCAGACTATTCTCTACATTTACACTAAATTACATCCAGATCCGTCTGAACTTTCGCATTTATAATATTTGTAAGAAGTAAAATATCTTGGGGGATAGTCAGATTGTCAGTTACTATGTTTAATTATTTAATTACATTCTACACAAGTAAGTATTAACATTGAATGTGGCTACTAAGATAGAGGAAGACCGAAGCAATTAAGGATGAATTGTTTGGATATTCGTGAATTAAAATATGACGTCTAACAGAGATGTATAGAAGGGATATACGTACTGTACCTACTCTCCTAAAGGACTAGATTAACGATATTTATTTTTAATTATGTACTCAAGTAGTATCTTAACTGATTTTACTTGTTCTCGTGTATACTTACTTTATTTGATTTCGTTTTCGAGTTTTAATTATTTTTTGTATTGTCTGTTACAAGATCAAGTTGGCTAGGATATTGTCTTTGTTCGATGTTATTAATGAATTATGAGGAGATAAAAATTATTAATAATGTTTATTAGTGATTTTTGGAGTTCTGTATTAAGATAAGAAGTTTTTTAAAATGGGTGAGATGAGGCAAAGATTTTTATCATACTAATATTATAAATGCGAAAGTTTAGATTGATGGATGGATAGATGTTTGTTAGTTTGTAGCCTAAACTACTGAACGGATTTCGATGAAGTTTGGCATAGATGTAGAGAATAATATGGCAGAACACTTAGGATACCCACTATTGTTTTATTTTAATTCTACTCTAACAGAGTCGTGGGCGAAAGCTAGTTGGTTAATAAAATATAAAGCATAAAGGTAGTTCAATAAAAAAAGTTTTTATTTTACTTTTAGCTACACATTTTATTGTGTTTACAGACGTTTTATTCCTGTATTTTGTGTACGATAATTATTATTTTTTTATTCTAGTTAGACCAATTTTAATAAGTGCTGGATTTCAGGTCAGGGTTGTTCCTGTAATGAAACTTGGTGCAGTCTGATGTCAAAATTACAGTCATCCGCCGAAGAGAGAAAGAGTAACAGAAGCGATTCCAATAATAGACCGAAATGTTTAAGGCTTAGAAGACGTATTCATAAAGGAGTAAATATATTCTTTAATCGTGTTAAGTGCGAGAGATACCGAGAATTGTAGTTGTCAAATATCTTGGAGGCTTGAAACGCATTAGAAGTTAAACCACTCTGTAATACGCGTAGCACTTGGCCAGCACTAGGCCAGACTAGTCGTTTAACTGTGTTGGCCAAGTGGTAAGCCTTCTGATCAGTACCTGGCATCAGTGATGCATTTAAACGCTAATTTACACTACAGTAAAAATGTTCAAACTATGCCAATTTATACTGACCAACTGGCCAAGCATGAACCTTGCATTTGATGTGTTAAGAGAAGCAAGAAAGGGTATTACGTAGAGCACCAATGACGTTCAGCTGCCAGGATATTTGAAGACTTAGAATGGACCTACAAATTTGACTAAACTATTGCACTACTGCGTGCGATTGTTGTTTGTTTTGCAGCCAATTCAACTGTTTATCGCACAGCTGAAAATCGAGTAGTGCGCGCACCTCCATATAAGCTCGTAATCAAAACGAGAATAAACAGTTGTGCGATAGTTTAGTTTCAGGTGTACGCACGCTCTTATGATTGAAAATTAGTAACTTTGTCAATTTTAAAAGTAAAAAGTGTGTATTTTCCAGAAATGCAATTGTAAAACAAAATGTGAACAAGAGACATTGATCAACATTGGAACGCATTGTGGTAAATCTATGCAAGAGTCACGTAAAAAGCCTTGCCAAGTCCATTTCTGGAAGGCATCCGGAGAACCGCCTACCAAATGTTGTTCTCAGAAAAGTCCACAAAATTTGACATCGAAAAATATTTGTCGTTTTACCGTTGATGCTTATTTTAATTAAAACATTTTAACTGCCAATTGCTTTTAATTCATAGTTTTAAACACACAGTTTAACAGATTTATATGGGATTTGTTGATTACATTACTACGGTTTATATATATGTTGGCAGATGAGTAGGCATTCTGTGCAATGCACTCCCCTAGCATACTACGTACGCACTGCTACACCTAAAACTGTGTTCTACGCATCGACTCTTGAGAAGTTAAGATCCGCTAAGATATATGAAAACTGTAATTCAACTTGATAAGAAAATGGTTGACCATCTTAATCTTACTAATATTATAAATGCGAAAGTTTGGATAGATGAATGGATGGATGGATGGATGTTTTTTAGCGTTTGTAGCCTAAACGGCTGAACGGATCTTCATGAAATTTGGCACAGGTTTAGAGCCTAGTCTGGAAGAACACATATGCTACTTTTTATCCCGGGATAAGTTACGGTTCCCGTGGGATTCATTAATTTAGTTTTTTAATGTTTACTCGATCATTCTGCAACGGTTCAACATATCTTATTGAAATTTGGCACAGATGTAAAACAAAGTCTGGAGTATACATGGAATAAGCTTCATCCCCGAGGTGTCCGGTTCCCGAGGGATACGTACCTTTTTGTTATTTATATAGTTCGTATGTTTTCTAATACCACGCGGACGAATTCGCGGGCAACAGCTCGTTATTACTAAAACACAAGAGCTTAGATAGATGGATGTTGGTCAGAGTGTATAGTCTAAACTGCTAATCCGATTTCGATTAAATTTGATTTAGATATAGAAGATAATCTAGCAGAACACATAGGCTACTTCTGATCCTGAAAATAATTACAATTCCCGTGCGATAGGTTAACTTTATTTTTTCATGTTTACTCGATAATTCTGCAACATATCTTATTTGAATTTGGAACAGATACAAAACAAAGTCTGGAGTAACTCATAGTAGATACCCCGATAAATGTGAGATTCAAGGGATATTTAGTTTTACTTTTTCGTAGTTCTTATGTTTTAACACTGCGTGACTGAAGTCGCGGGCAACCGCTAGTTGTTTATAAACGTCAAATTGAATCTCATCCAATATTAACATTGATTTGTTTGTAAAGGATTATTGGAGTAAATCGTAATGTCGATCTTAATAATAACCATCAGTATCTTTATTGAAAGGGTGTATCAATAAATTGTTAATTGTACTGATTTCAAGAGTATTATTGAACGCGCAATCCTTTGACTAAACTATCGCATAACTGTTTGGTCTCGCTTTAATTCCTATAAGCTTATATATATATATTTTTTTTGTTTTTTTTTTTTTTTTTTGGTGACTGATTTGTCACTGTTTGCCTTGAAGAGGCATTTACAGATTCACCGGGCTTGAGGTGGCCCAGCGCAGATGGCGCTTAGCCTAAACCTCTTTTATGAGTAACTAGGCTCGAGGGCTCCCTCAGGAGCCTCGGCTCGGGCCGTTACTTCGTTATTATTACCGGATTGGGAGGCCACCGAGCTCTTAGATCGCTTCGGTGGTCGCTCCATGGAGTGACTAAGCACAAGGGTCCCCGAGAGGGGACCTCGGCTTGGGCTGTCACTCAATACGCGTTTAGCATTCCGATTCAAGGGCGCCCGAGAGGGCCGAACCTCGACTTGATCGGTTGCTGCTATCTGATCATGAGATCATAAGCTTATATAGAGGTGCGCACACTACTCGATTTTTAGTTGAGCAACTAAACAGTTGAATTGGCTGCGAAGCAATCGACAATCGCACAACATTTGTCTATAGTTTAGTCAAAGGTGTGCGCCCGCTCTAATCTATACTTCTATACTATTATAATAAAGCGTAAACACACACTTCTTTGTTGCCTAAGATGTCAGCAATTACAGCATATTTTTGAATAATTCTTTTTTTAATAATAAGCCCTACACTTATGTCACGCTTTAGGCTATATATTTTTACGCCATTAAACTTAGGGGGTTAATATTTTGGATAAAAACCCTAATGTGAGAAAGAGATCCTAAGTTGCTGCCAACATCAAGGAAGCTAGATTGCCAAGTTTTGTTATGTCATTTTGACATTTGCAATTGACAATTTGACACATGTAAAAAATAAAATAATTTTGTACTGATGAAATCGCACGGGGAAAGCTAGTTATAATAACAATTTCTCTTAATAATGTTCTCCCTCACATAGAACAACTAAAAGCCTATTTTTCAACATTAAAAAACAAGCTTGAAGCTGTATTTAAGGTTACCTTTTTACGATTTTTTCAGCAACATTGAGTGTTATAAAAATATTGTTAAGGTATCCATTTTCAATAACGAAGACACGGCAAGCCACGTTAAAACGTATAAAGGTGTAATATGTTGGGGACAATCTAAGCTGAAACAAAACGCTATCATTACAAGCACCTCGTTACAGCCAGGCGCAGACTTCGTTACAGGTTAATTAAGTTTTATTGCACATTACCCGCCTGTTATGGCACAGCTCTTGATACTTGTTTAGATATAATGTTCTAGCCGTTTGGTTAAAGTTTCTAGCTTTAATGTTAATTTTTTTTAAATCCTATATAGATCAGAAAGGTGTGGAGTGTATCGCTGATCATTTTTTTTTTGGACGACAATCCGCTATTTGATACGGAATGTCGTCCATTTGTGTGGTGTATGTGTGTTTTCGCTGTGAGGTGAGTCTGTGTGTGTGTATATGTATATTGTGCAGTGTGTTTAAGTTACTAGGCTTAATTTTATTCTAGAGAACCAGAGAGCAAATTCTGACTGTTAAGGTAGACGAAGGGGTAGGGGAGGGGGTGGTGCCGAGCCAGTCCCAATTAATATCTTTATTCGGTCCACAATGTGGCAGGCAAATTTCGAAAACGATTGTATTAGTGATTCTTTTTCCTGTAAATTCAGAATGTTAATATGGAAGGTTTTGCATTTGTTTTTGATTGGGAAACCCTAGCGTGTGTAACTGTCGTAAGAATTATGAACATGTTGAAGACTGCAAGGTTAAATCTAACGTGTGTAGCATGCATAAGAAATGACACTTTAACAATCTTGCTTCTCGTCTATACTAATAAAAGATTTGTAATTTTGTATGTATTGAAGTAACTCAAAATATACTAGACCGATTTCCGAATTTTTGCACCATTAAAAAGCTATGTTATCACTGAGTAATAAAGGCTATATTTCTACAATTTTTTTAATATCGGGCGAAGTCGCGAGCAACAGCTAGTGCTAGTGCTAATGCTAGCTAAATGCAAAAATTTCGATGGATAGATGTTTGTTTGAGTTTGTAGCCTAAACTGCTGAACGGATCTCAATGAAATTTGACTTAGACGTAGAGGATAATCTGTGAAAACACATAGGCTAGGCACTTAGTTTTTTTTTCCACGCGAAAGAATAAAAAAGCTAGTAACTACAAGTATAAATTAACTTTCTAACTACGACTGATGTACAAAATGTTTCTTTTGTATATTAACTTTGATATTATGAGAGTACAATACAAATCTAGTATGACAAAACGTTGGCGCTGAGCCAAACCGCAGCGCAACATTTAGCACAAAACGAATAATTGTTTCCCTTCCCTTTGCATACACAATATGAGATTTTAATTACATTTTCCTGACATACATTTCAAGCCTTTTTAAATCGTGATTGGTTTGTAAACGTTTTCCTGTCACTAAATTTAATTTCAACACCATTAATCTATATATACATATGTGTATCTACACGTATATATGCGGACATGCTGTTTGATTTTGCCATCCTGGTGATGGTGATAGCGCGGGCGTTGATAAGTGGTGAGGTTTACAACTAATAAGAGGAATAGAATTAAATATAATTATATAAATTATCGGTGGCTCAGTGGTTTAAGCACTTGACTTGTAATCTACAGGTCTTGGGTTCGAATCCCGCCGTGTATCAATGTGATTTTCGATTTTGCGAATTTTCATATGTACATAATTTACCCGAGGTTCTTACGGTGAAGGAAAACATCGTGATGCCTGCAAATATCGGCGAAGAAATTCAAAGATGTGTGTGAAGTCGACCAACCCGCAGTGGGCCAGCGTGGTTGACAATGGCCTAATCACCCTAATTTAGGGTAGGCTCCGAGCCCCTCGGTGGGGACATATAGTGAGCTGGTGATCATCACATCATCATCATCATGACTCTTAATTAAGGTAAGGTAACGCCTAATATAAATGTTCAGTTTTATCTGACAGATTTATCTTAATTATCCGACTAGATTAAACTAAATTGGCTTGATAGATTTAAAGCGACGGATTTTTCTATTCTATTATTTCCTGCAGTACCAGGCGTAGCACATCCTGTATATCATATATACATTTCTTATCCGCATTGTAAGCGAGATTCTTACCAGGTGTTTTAGACCTGGTTTGGTATTGATCGTGTTAAAGTTGCTATAAAGACATAATATAATTTATTTCGTAGAAAGTGATCAACTAGCAAGTGGTCATCTTATTTCGCTAAAATAGTCAACAAAAAGGTGTTTTATAGCTGGTTTTAATGTTAGATTTTTGTTAATTTACTAATATTTCCTCTAACCATTCCAAGTAAGCTCTAGGCTTGTGCTAGGGTATGGTTCACGACAATAGTCGAATGATGAGATTCGAACTCTCGACCAAACCATTAGGGTATTGGCGCTTAGCGTATTAAGGCCCAATATGGTTTTTTCAGGTCTTTTCGATGATTGGGCTATACGTAATAGACAATAAAATTTTCACCCTTACTAATGATATTTCTAAATGCCATTTCCATGCGAATATCTTTTAATGTTTCCCAACTAAGCAGTTTAATTTCAAAACTGTATGTAGATACGTTGGTTGGGAGTTGGGGATTCGTCGCTCGACCGCTACACTCAGATAACGACCAGTTACGTTGTCGAGGTTCGTTCGAACGTTGCCACATTCTGTTATTACCGTGTATTACTTTGATTATAAAAGTTCATGTTAATAGCAATGTGGTGCATTTCTGACAAGTAGACACCGCTAAAGCTGATGGTTGTTTTGCTTATTAGAGCGCGA